GCAGGCAGGCAAGCAAGTGTGCATGTAAGAAGTGGAGTGAGCAAGAAAGTAAGCTCAGAAGCAAGTGAGTCAGCAAGAAAGTGGACAAGCAAACAAACAAGGTCGCGAGGGAGGAAAAGAGTGTTCAGAAAGATGGTACTGGCATACACTCTTATGATCTAATCACATTGGTGTTGATGCCAATCACAGTTTGGAGGAAATGAGAAAAAAATCTGAAGACGAGTTAAAAATATGAAAAAATAGTGTTCTTTTGTGGGGTGAGGTAAATCTGGCAGTGTAGTAAGCATTTTTCTCTTGAAACTCTGTGAATCCTAAATTTGTGTTGCCTTTTTTGAATGACGCATCGTCCAGTACTACGATTCTGCAGCCAGGTGCCGCATGGAAAAGGTGCAGAAATGGAATGTAAGCCCCTCAGAAAGCCACAGCTCCCTGCCAATCCATCTCAGATTATTTGCTAAGCAGTTGAAGATAAATGAAATTATCCCTTGAAAAAACAAGATTCAGTTGAGCTTCCTTACGCATACCGTGGCAATGATGTATCTAACCGGGTTATCAGCAATATCTGGCTGAAAATTTTTCACCCGTGGTTGGTATCAATGCCTTGGAGCTAAATGCAATACCCTTCCCTCCTTCCGTGAACTGCAATTGCCATGTCTGCTGTACGGCTATTAATACCAATCACTCAACGCTCGCTCTGCTGATGAGAATTTCTGCTGTCGGTATCTTGCGACTGTGCCCTACATGATCAGCAGATCTAGGATGCCTTGAAGTGAGGCAGTTAAGAATTTAAAAGGTCAAAGTTCGGTAGGACACATTCGGCAGGGGGCTGCCCTGTGTCAGTTCACTTGCAAGTCCCCCCCTTCCTCCGTCACCTCTACCCCCTCCCAGTACCCAACCCTACCTGTTTGGGAAAAAAAGAACACTTTTGTACTTAACATCTTCACTTCTAATCCTTTTTTATTTGTGTGGCCAACTGGCCATCACCCTATCTTTGTTTTCTATCTAATGGTAAGGATTATAACTACTTGGTTTTAGTCAAAGTTTCTTCTTAAAAATTTGTAAAGATCGAACAAATCTAAGAAATGGTGGTGGCAGCTCAACAGCATCGGTAATGCAGCTCTGGCACGTTTATCTTTCTTTTGAGCTCCATCTTGAGAAACAATTGTTGATTTATTGGTCTTTGTTGTCGTGTACATTTGTAATCCTGTACATTTATTGAGGTATGATGGGACGCCAATGAAAATAAGCCTGTGTAATTGGCTTTTGGGGGATATCCCAGAATGAATCAACTATATCTTGTTTGTATGTGGACAAGTCATTGAGTTGCTTGATTTCTGAATAAATAAAGAACACAACCATCCAACAAATCTGGTCAAACTCATCACCACTTTGCAAATATATTTACAGACTTTGAACTTCTGGCTGCATCCAACTGCTCTGCTGTTTCTCTCCAAGTACAGTCTTCCTGCTTATTAATGTACATGTCGAATCTTGTTTGGCACCGATATCAAAACACGCGAATTTATGATCATTGGGAAAACATTGCCAATGTGACTAGCCCATTTAGAGCACCTTCTAAAAGTTGCACACAAAAAAGCTTACTGCTATTACCCCGACAGATCTCTATCAAAAATGATTCTCGGCCAACGAGGCACATTTCAGGGATGACAGTCGACGTCCTGTAAAGAGCCTGAAAATAAGTCCACAGAAGCCTAAAGATACATGGACCATGTTTGGGCCTTGACAAAGCGTAAAAACAGGCATCCTTGATACTTCCCACAATCCAAGCACCGTGAAGGGTATTCCTAAACCTCAAGAGGGCTCCTGTACAACATTAACTTTCCATCGTGCCCACTGGCCAAGAATCTCTCGACTGCATCTTCCTGAATTTTTCTCTTTCCAAGGGGGCAAAGTGCCATCTCCACACACAATATTCCATTTCTTCCACATGTTGTGAGGGCCTCACAGAACACCGAGGGGTGACAACGTTATCCATCAAATTGGTCACTTTTTCTCACCAAGAGACTGGCGTGTTTGATTTAATGACAAAATGTATTTTCGGGTGTGGAGTTGGTTCTAACTCCAAACACCAACAATATTAAATGGTTTGCAGACTTAAGGTCCCTTGTGTGCTTCTTCACTTCAAGTCTTCCGATAACTCACAAACTGAAATCATTATTTAAATTCCACGGCACGTTGTCACACTGCCATGACAAGTCAATCCACCCACTCTAACATCACGTCATGAACTATTGAAGAGAGCAGCGACAACAGCATTCCTCATAGGTTAAGCCTACGGACTGGGCTACATCGCTTAATTTCAGCAAAATAATAAGTGATCGTAAATATCTTTAAGAAGGTGCACAAGCATGGCGATGTGGTTCAGATTGGAATGCTTGCATGCCACCAGTTTGTCCACAGTTTCGTCTTGAGAGGAGGCTACACAGTGACCTCAAAACTTTTCCACACCGTAGGTTCCATAGCAAGAAATGGCTATGCCATTAGCTAGTGCACATATGGTTACTCTTCCGGACAGTGTATGATGTTTTCGATGACATACCAGCTGAATGACCTCAGGTCACATCTGAATCAATTCATATCCTTCTAGGATGGCAGAAATGCCCAAGATTCATCACTCCTGAGTCAACAGATCAGGGATGCCTGCTTGCAGAATTCTTCGGAGGTACATATCTAAAAAGTGTCTAAATCAGACAAGCCTCCTGAAATGGCGGCTTGTCACATGAGTGTTCTTGGGTGAGCAAGGCACCAGACTACTACGTAGTGCCTTCTTTGTCTTCAGCCTCGGCGTAGTGCCTGTACTCCGGCTTGAGCTCCCACATTTGTTTGTGCGGCGCCCTCATGTTGTAGATGCCAATTTCCTTCAGGATTTCCTTGAGGTAAGGCTACAGAAAAACACAGAGTGACGAGACATTTGAAACACAACGCTCCCAAAAAGACCATAAAATAAAAAAACTGGTTGCACACTTCTTTAAAGGGAAGCAGCAAAAGATTTGTTGGGGAGCCTAAAGGAGAATTTTTTCTGTAATAGCGTTATTTTGACACCATTTTTCCAAGACAGACCAGCCCCAAAACCATTATTTTTCCATTGCTTGGTCAATGCATGCTGACCGACACGATTGAGGCCATAAACTTCAAAACCTTCATACTGAATCGATACTTCACATTATGCTGATAGTGAATGTCTTGACAGTCACACAAAGCTTGGAGGCAATCAGGCATGTGAGAGAGGAATTCTTGGCTCCCCAATCCCCCCCCCATGGTCCAGAGTAAACCCGGCTCTTTGAGGGTTAAAGTTCAGTCCAACTTACCGTGGGCTGTTGCGTGATCCGCACCAGGTCCTTGAAGGCGTAGTACTGGTGTTTCTCGAAGGCGCTGAACAGGAGGTCCTGGACTTTGTTCTTGTCCAGCTGGCCTTCTTCCCTTCCTCCTTCTTCCGTCTCTCGTACTCGACCTTCAGAATGGGGACAAGTCGCGGAGGGACGTTAGAAGAAAATAAAAAGGGCAGAGAGGGTAGTGTACCGTGTCCTGGATGATTTGATCCAGACATGAGGCAAATTGCACGAGGCTGAAGTGGAAGGCAGCCGCAGCAGTTATCGTTTTTGATGGCTACATGTACACTAACTACTGTATCTATGACCAGCTCTCTGAAAATGAGTCCCGAGGCTTTTTTTTCAGTAATTTTGTTCTAGATTGCGTCAGAAAGAGCAAATCCAACTTTTCACTTTGATGTATCATTCATTTTGGCTTCCTGATGAAAACGGATTATTGTGTAGGTGAAAAATGTTTGTTTTTTATTGATTTGTACCGCAGTGCAAAATTCTTTTCAAGGCTTTCACCGAAAGGCAGCGCTGGGGACTTGTTACTCATTTTCACAGAGCGGGTCACACTTGGTATTAAAAACCAACCAAAAAAAAGCCAGCCATCCTTGGATAAAAAATTGTACCAGCAACACCTGAGTTAAGAGTGCTACTGCATGCAACCGACACTCCCGATTCTGCTCAGTGAACCACCTGCTACTTACATTGTGGGAGTGGTTCATGATGGGTTTGAACGAGTGCACCACTTTCTCTTCCAGCTTTGTCATCCTGGTAGGTTTGTGGGCGTTCTCGATGTGCTTCCTGGTGAAAACCGCATCAACGATACAAAATTCATAAGCCATTTGTCCCATGCCATGGTTAGCCAAGTGAGATAGTCCAACCACTTGCACACATCTGTGTGGTTTGTGGCCCAAACGCTAAAACAAGATTGGGTTTTTTTTTTTAGAATCCTATAAAGGGTCATGCTATTTATTGTCAACAAGTGTCAACACACAATACATTTTTATGTGCATAAATAATGTGTTTGCAATTCTCTTTTGCCTCCTAATGTCATATGCAATATCAATTTCAAATGATTCAGAGTGTGAAATTGTGAGTGACAAAGAACAAAGTACAACGACGCCCCTCGTGCAACCCAGAACTGCGACATGAGCATCTCAATTGTTGGAACCAAAATGGTGGATTGTGCATCAGTGCACATGGACAGTTAGCACACAACAGCTGCAATAATGAACAGCCATTTTGGTTCCAAAGCTTTAGGGATACGAATTCAGCCTTTTTCTTGCACTACTGGAGATGTGAGAGTCTTCTGAATATGATACTTTTTTTGACGGGTGTCGTGGGGACGAGAAGGCAGGCGACGGTTTCTGTTCAACGCCAATCAAGGCTCTCTCTTTCTTTCACTTTCTCCATGCTTCAACAGGAGGACGAACGGAAGGGCATGGACAAACCTCTTCATCTGCATGTAGCGGTCGTCGGCCAGCGGTCTGCACTCCAGCCGCGACGCCACTTTGCCCTCTATTGCCAAATCTGTGAAAGAATCAAGACACGGCACTTAGTGGTAAGGGGGCTTGCCTTCAATTTGGATGCCGTCAGATAATAGGTGAGGGAATCAGGGCAGTTTCCTCCTTTGACGACCCCTGGTACAGGGTCATTTCATGTTCCGTTTTGAAACTCTCCCAAGATAGGTATTGTGCCAAGACTGCACAGTCTATCCCTGAAGCGGTTCACTGTTTTTGTTGATCGGGCCTTCACAGTGGGTGGAGCCATTTCAAAACTCAACCAAATTCAGCACGCCAGAGCATCTGGTCATGATGCAACTACAGACTTCTCTGTTCAGAAGAAATCATGAAAAAGTTGACCAACGACAAAGGGTTTTTTAACGAAATACCTAGCTTTGAAGACTCCCCTTGCTCGGACACATCTGCAAAGAAAATGCAGTGAAAGCACCAGTGCATTCTGCTCGAGAGTCCAGAAGTGAATACGTCAGACGCACAATGATGTGTGTAAAAGGCATCAGCATGAGAGCCAGCGCGTGCACCAAGATGCGCGCACGCCCTCCATTTACTTCAAATGACGTCATGCTTCAGTACTCTATATTGAAAGCGAAGGTAACAACCTACTGATACACGCTCGATGCATATCAAAACGTGACTCTGAACTTGTCAAGGTAATGGCAAACTTTCTCACGGAAGATTTTTTTTCTGAGCTCTTGAAAAGTTACGTCAATCTGTTTTGTTCTTCATGACTTCCTCCTTGGGCCAACACAGCCAAACTGCCTACCCTTAATGCACAAAAGTTTCATAAATTTGAACAAAAAGAAAAAAAAAAAGGAAAAAAAAAACAGAGTGTAGTAAACTGCGAGTTTGTTATTGCAATACTTTAAAAAACTGGGAAAATAAACTGTGTCAAATAACAGTGACTTGACATATATACAGTGGCCTATACTTTGAAGTTATGGGTGGCCAATTTCAAAAATCTGCTAAGCACGTGAAATCTTGGCTCGGCAAAAACTGGCTACCACTGAGGGCGTAATGTCAATGTAACGTGCATTTTGTGCGACTGGATCACGGCTAAATCTTTTGGAGGTCACGGACTTTCATACCATTTTCAACCTCCTCGGAAAACACCATGAGGGTCCTGTCGGATGCGCTGAGGACCTGGAACTTGTTCTCAGTGGGCAAATCTACGTCCCCTTCCTTCAGCTTCATGGTGGCTAGCTCCGACTTCATGGAGAAGTGGATGTCTGGCTTGCCAAATCGCCTGGGAATGAGAGAACAAGTGGACTAAATGAGAATCACTGGACCAATTAAGAATCCTCGGACCAACCGGGACTGAATATTCAAGCCACATACATGTATGTATCATCACGATCATTCTGAACTGAAGTTGCCAACAAGTAAATTAAAAAATTTAATCGTACATTGAGGAAAAACGTCTATATTCTTGCTGCTGTAACTTCCCCGTGTCAGAATTTCACTGCAATCTTTTTGTGTCAGACATCTGAGAATCTGTCCAAAATACTAAACAAGAAAGCATTTTGGTGACAGAAGATGCCCGTGATGGTTAAACAGGTATTTCCCCCTCCCCCCCAAAAAAAAAATCCTCACAAGCAGTTTGGTACGACTTACTGTCCAACGTTAATCTTGCCAATCTCTCCTGAATTATCAGAATGTTCCCATCGCTCTGCTATGTATTTTGGGACCTGCATGAGATTGTCAAAAAGGGAAAACAGGGATTTAAATATTGGAAAGAGTTCCATATACAGACAACACTTGACGCCCCTGTCCACTAACCTGTGAGACTTGTCTGAAAAAAAAGTTGTTTTCTATTCAGGAAATGCTTTGGAATTCTCCCAGCTAAATTTCACTTTTTGGGATATCTTACTTCTCTCTGATGGCTATTATAACATTTTAAAGGGTAAATATGTATGTATTGGTGAAAGGAGGCATGTGAAATTACAATTTCAACATAACTTCACCTTTTACGGCACCGAGGAGTTCACCGCCTTTAGGCCTACTGCCTGACCGAATGACATGACTCTGTATAGGGGCTATTCACAATAGAGTGCCTCCAAGAATTTGCAATGCGTTGGCCAATCACAATGCGCAAAATCTGTCGACCATTTCCAAATACACATTGGGTTGACAGATTTCGCGTATACTGGTAAGCCAATTTCCTGTTCAGTTGCTATGGTGATTTTGGCACCCCCGCGCAGGTAAGTGAACAAAGATAGAGGGGGACAAATTGTCTACAACAATAACAATCATGAGCAGCCATTCGCCAATCGTTACGCAACATTGTTGTCATGAATTTGTTCCCCTCTGTTAAATCTTCTGAGCATGCCGACATGAAACATGGAAAAGAAAAGGCTTATTGGCCAAGGCATTGCAAACTCTTGAACCTTCTGTTTGACTGGGCAGATAAACTGCTGATGTTGTAACCTTCACCAGTAGAGGCAATAGGTTAAAACCAAAAGATGCAACAGTTTATATTGGGGTGAATGGTGAAATGGTGACAGAGCGAAGTGGAAATTGGGCGAAGTGGGGATAGGGTGAAGTGGTTAGGGGCAAAGCAGTCAGGGGCGAAGTGGAATGGGGCAAAGTGACTGACATGCTAAATTCACAATCAATGCATTGCAGCAACCTCGACGCCGTGGGCTGCGTGCGCGTTCCCTAGCCCATTGTTGTGTAGAATATGATTATGAAAATGACGCTGACTATTTAGGATGAACATACATAAACATAAAGTCAATCGTGTGCACATTTCAAAAGCTGCACGCTTGCATCCAGCATGCCCAGGTTTTCTCTTGCACGTCACGTCATGCACACGTAAATACCATGAATACATGAAATATCTGCATCATTTGTAAACACACCGACTAAAGTCCTACTTTAACCCTAACCTTCCTCAATCCTTCACCTGTTGGAGGACTGAGGAGTGTTAGGGTTAACCCTAGAAGGATATTTAAATTACACAATTCCAGGGGTTACATCGCTCAAGGCATGGTATACTGGTGGGAACTAACGTGGCGTGGCAAGCATGGCAACATCGTGGCCATGAGAACGAGGCTGGCATTGCAGCTTTGACCTCAAATTCAAAACACACATTTGGTCATTAGCTTTTAATGGATTACTTTAAACCTACCTTCACGAGCCACAGGCCATTACTACAACCACTTAAATCAACTGTAGCTTTGTCTCCCATACTGTTTAAATATACCTCCTTCAGGACGTCGACAAAAAGCTGACTATTCGTTAAAAAAGACCCATCAAGTCATACAACTTTTTTTACAAGTTAGGCCTACTTTCGAAAATTATTTTTGCTGCTCTCTGAAAAGGAGTCTGACACCCCGTCATAAGCTTCGTAAGCAAAATAAATCTCTGAGCAGGATACCAGACTCTCTACAAATTTTGCGGCGTTGTGAAATAGCGCCACCATTTGATCGCTGTTACTTTTTTTAACGGAGAAGTAAAATAGCGACTCCATTTGTTAGAGAGTATGAGACGTACATACATGTGTGGCTCCACGAGCCTCCAAACAAGATCTTTTTTATTTATCACGAGTCTTAAGTGTTTCTGTAACAATTAATCTCTATTGTGGGCAGAATCTAGAAACTTCAAATTGTTTTTTATTTATGTTTTTAAAGAAAACTCGGTTTTTCAGAAGTATATCACATTATTTTACACTTTTTTTCAACTTGTGGCACCGTTTCGTCTGATACCACCATTGGATTAATTTTGTCGGTCGAGTGATGACTTGGCTGGTCCTGGGATAGGTGGATGGCTACCTCTCCAATGACAATGTCATGCAAATTACAACAAAAGTTGGCTACGTCCAAAATCAGATTATGTATTTAATGCCATATCTGATTGACTACTATGGTATGTTTTGATTAATTTTGGATTTTTGCCCTGCCCGATGTGTGTTATATAACACCGTATACTCAGCGTTTGCCCCTGGAGGCTTGTGAACCTACGACTTCCTGCTTACAAGTGCAGACGTCTCAACTAGTCGTGGGCTCGAATCCCATCCGAGTACGCTTGTGGTTTTCTTCACAAGCCTTCGGGGGATAACACTCAGATGCCACCGACTGTTTTCACGTGCGAAATCCTAAAATCATTTTTTTCAACACTTTGTGGTGTCTGTAAGTGAACTTTCTCCCCTTCCCCGGCGAGCTCCGAATTTGGACTTGGACGGTTTTTTTTACCATGAGCCCCGAGTTGCGCGTTGTCAGGTCGAGTTTATTTGATGTTGGATTAGGCTATAAGTAGTGACCGCAGCCAGCTGGCAGACAGACCGTGACCTGCTCATAAAACCGTCAACTCGCCCTGCATCTCCCTTTTAATTCACTCCACTCCACTGTCCGCTACAGCGCATGAATCACATGGAAGGAATGCGAAACATCTTTCTGCGTATACGCGTATCACGTACTTTGGCTAGACTTCGACTTTGTCTCTCGTCCTATCGGAAAAGTGGACCGTCAATGTCTCCATGTGAAGTTACAATGGTATAAATTCTCTTGTTCCGCAGTTGTGACTGGAGAATAAGTTTAACTGTTTGCATCCTCAGCTGCTGACAATAAGTGGTACTATTTCGGTGACATTCAAATCGGATCATTTGTTGGACTTCTTTCTTTCATTCTTTATGATGCGAGGCTCCTGTAGAAAGTCAGGACTAAGGCTTGAAGTTTTAATCGATATAATGACGCCGGGAAAATAGCATCTGAGCGAAGCCAGCTTCATCCCCTTCCGCAAGAACAAAATTTAATGCAACGAGGGGCAGGCATTCAAAGAGCAAGAATTTGAGGAGTTTATGGTCTGTTGTTTTTATCAGCCGGAATCAACTAAATTTTTTTCCGCAAGGAGGATGACGGTGAACTGATGCTGTTTAGTGTTTGTTGGCAAGGCCGCATCTTTTGTGAGTAACCTTGGATGCTACTTTGCAGCGCGTGTGAAACATCACTGCCATACGTTGCGTGTGCTCTCATCACACCGGCCGTACACACATGGACCGCATGCCCAGCTCGACAGACGCTATTTACCCAGAATGCCCTTCGGAACTTCAGTCCAAAATGGAGGAGCTCTCGGTAGAGGTAATCGACGCAAATGGTGCATACTACAAGGTAAAATGTCATCCATTTCTGACCGTCATTTGTTACTCCCAATAGCAGGAGGAAGTGCGGAGATAGTGTGGAAGTTGACTGGGGCTGGTGCTATTGGTAGTTTCGGTGTGGGAAAGGATGAAATCCGGCCTGACACCCGCTGGTGATTGCGCCACTTTCATTCCGATGCGTACATGTACGTGCGTGCATCATGTGCATGGTCATGATGGTTTGACATGTCTGCATACATGTCGCCGTTGTCGGGTTCGGTGTGATCAGCAACAGCATGGCGAATCGGAATGGTGCTTGGAAATATCATAATTGTTTGGGCGAGCTTCAGCGGTGAATTAGATAGAAAGCCTTTAGGATCCTAATTTCACATTTACATGTACATGTAAACTGCAAAACAGAAATAATGTCCAGCATTTATTTATAATTTTTCATATAATATATCATAGCCTCATAGGTAGAAGTTACAGTTAGTTGAAAAGTCGTCTTGAATTTAAAAGTTAAGATTTAGGCCTAAGGGGGGTGGACTTGTTACCAAGCACTTTCATGGTAGTATAGACGTGTTTGTGGGTTTATAATAAATGAAAAGAACTTGTGTTGTTGAGCAGGAATGCCAGTTGAAACATTTGCACTTCAAAAGGTGTCATGTGCTTATTCCAAGGCCCATGTCTAGCAGCGTGTGTCCTTTTTGCCCAGTGGATAAAATGTCGCACCATCATGACTGTGAAAGTGCCTATTGTGATACAGCTTGCCATTTTTACAATTGGTCATTTTGTTATGTTGAATGTAAGCATCCAGGATGCCAGACACAGCTTGGTTGACTAATAAGGCTGTAGTATCTTCACTGTGGTGTCAGATTCAAATTCCTTTGCAAACCGTCAAAGGAAAATTGGACTCATACCATGTGATGAAAGGAAAGATTCCTATGAAGGCAAATACTCAGCAACAAATTTTAAGGTTTTGGGGGCTTGCAGTTTAGATAATATGAAGTAGAATTGCCCGTACAAGCTTTGTGTTTTGGTCATTAGTTCTACAATAGTTTGCATATCAAAAGATTTCTAAGGAATGCGCGACATTTAGAATAGCAACATGTTCACCTTGAATATTTACCAAAGCCAAAGTTGGAGTGCGTTCACCTTGTTTGAATTCACAGTTGAGGTGTTTCCCATTGTCTCCCATGATTTTCAGAACGAGTGCCAAATGTGAGTCCCAAAACACGCAAAACTTAAATTTTGTGGGATTAATACATAGGCAGAAGTACACCTTATTCTCTCCAAGGACAAACTGCTGCTTAGTTTCACCGTGTGGTTTTTTTGTAAGCCTTGTGAGTGATACAGTTGGTCACTGATTTTTCTAATCCAGTCCACAACTGGAGGGGGAATGATAGTAAAATCTTTCCTACACTACATGTGCGGAGGATTTCCATATCTGGCGACCACACACTCGTCACCAAACATAGCCAATTTCCCCAGCTTTTAAGTTGCATTAACCCTAACTCCCTAGGTCCTTTTTGCTAGGGACCTTCCTCAATCCTCCAGAATCCTCCAATTTGGGAGGTGAAAAAATTGGATTCTCCCTCAATCCTCCGAAATTGTCCAAAATTTCTTGAAAATTATACTTGGAGGTGTGGCTACTGCCCCAATCCTTCAAAATCCTCTGGCAATTCCTGTCATTATGTTGAGGCAGTGCGATTGGCATTCTTGAGCAGTGCGGTTGATTCAAGAGAAATATCGGGCTGAATTTATGCACAAATGGACAAGAACAACACAAGGTCTAACCCACGACCTTCACTCATGGCATCCTTGCAATCAGCCATGCAGTTTTGCCATTCACCCTCAATCCTCCAAAACCACCCAAAGGATTTTGGAGGATGGAGGAGGGTTAAGGCTAAAGACACGTCCTTTCAGGTTTGGAAGAAGTGGAAAGGTGTGAGGAAAGTTATTGCTAGGTCATATTTTTAGAGCTTGGTCTTTCTCAAGAACTCATGATCGTGGCGTCGGAATATGGAACTTTTTCATACACGTCTATCATGACTGATGTTATCATCTTGCTGAGCATATGTGATAGGACTACTCTCAACAAACTGTCAGGCGGTCTCGCCGAGCCATTGGCTTATTGCGCGGTCGTCGATCAGTCATCATGGTCATGCAACTATCCCTCATCAACCATTTTTTCCACACGGTGTAAGAATTTGTTCATGTTTTAAAACTTTGAGATCTTACATGTACATGGTGCCAAGTGTGGTTCAGAAAGGTTCGACAGACTTTTCTTTAAATGCGTGCAACAAGTGCCCCTTAGCCCTAACAGCTCTGGGCAAAATTTGGCTTGCAGTACTCTGTACTGCAAAATACTAAGCAGTAGCCTGAGCCTGAAGGACCTACAAGCAACAGGGCTGAGTACTACATTTTACTATCATTAGTACTTCGTAGTATTCAGGTCTGTTAGGGTTAAAGTGGTATCCATTTCATTTGGAGCAGCTGCCGGTACCACCCTCACCCTCATGCTGTTATCGTTAACCAGTTCACGCTGAATCAGTGTTGGAAAACAGGAGAGGGACATTTTCAACTTATTTACTTACTGGCCTGGGGCCAATTTCATAGGACTGCTAAGCGCAAAGTTTGCTTGAGCGCCAAAAAGCTTGCTTAAAATTACAAACGTTACCAGCTCAAAATCCATGTGATCGTCACGCTAACCAAAAGACAGGTGAATACCATTCCAAAACAATATACATCTCATGGAGTTTTGGCTGGTAGCCTGATTTGTCAAGCAAGGTTTTTTTCACGCGTAAACAAATTTTGTGTTTAAGCAGCTCTATGAAATTGGTCCCAGTTTTTAGATGCTTTGTACTGAGAACTGTTTTGGTCTTTTTCACCTAAGCAAAATAGCAAGTTTGTAATAAACTTACATGTACGTACCTGGGTATGTACAAATACATGTATATTGTTCATCTACAGTGTACATGTACATGTAACAAGCATAACCTCAATTTTGTCCATGTACATGTAGCTATGTACATGTACATCTGTGTCCAAGGCCATTTCTTGGTGATCTGCTTTTTTTTCTCACCAAACATTTGCACTGCTTGTCAAACGATTTGCTTAGCAGTGCCTATTGTGTCTTCACTCTTCAGTATTCAGATTCCATTTATATGAACAACGTTCTCCTAATGTGTGTGACTAATACAGTGCCTTCCTGTGAACATTGGACATGTACATTCTAGGATGATCCTGGCAATGTTGCGTGTGCCCTGCTGACAAACTGGGGGAATTCCCAGATGAGCAACAATGGCTCTCGGTGGCAGACATCTTGGAATCTACACCGTGTGACAGTGATGTGATATTTCAGTGACTGTTTTTTGTTTTTAACCTTTTGAACTTTTGATGTACACCGATGTATCCATGACCTTTGAACTCAGGAGCGTACTTGTACATACATGTGCATGTACATGTACCTTCAGCACATTCCTTAGAATGTTATGCGATGGTGGGGTATTACTGCAGTTTGGCTTCATTCAGAAACGTTGGTCCAAGAACATACCGTATATGGATCTGCTTCGATAAATGTTCAGTACAGGCCACTGTTCGTATATGTACATCCTACAAGGCAGAAAATTCTGCATTGAACCGTCTATAGAGCATAGATTCCCCTCACAAACTTACGCTTCAGAAAATGTGATGGTTATCGACATAAATACATATACAGGTCCATTTACATACACGCGGTTGTGCATGTATACATGTAGAGGTTACATTTTAACATTAGCGTACAGTAGCTTTAGCTTGAGTTTTTGTTGGATATGTAGGCCTACTGGTTCATGCACTGTGAAAGCATATGACAAGCAGTTTTGGTTTATGTACATGTTCATGGAAAAACTAACACATGTTAATTCACAAAGTCCTGTACAATGTAATTCACAAAAGGTAATCAGGTTCCTCCACGGAAGACTTTATAAAGCCGTGGCGACTTGAATTCCGCAGGGATTAGTTTGGGAAGGTTTCACTGGATTTGGACGTTTTTAGATGAGATGTGAAATCAAAAGGGACTCTCTGCAGGGAGGTTTTGGACAGGTTCCTTTCCCAACTCACCACAGATTTGTTGTACATGTACATGCACAAGTATGTACATGCATGCATGGTGTTAGATTACACCATCACCTAGGGTTTGCATGTCTCATGTCAGGGTGCGTTGTGTAGTATGGGATTTATTGTGGAGGATTTCCCCCTTACTTTGTGCAGCGAAAGTCCTCCCATTATATCATCATCACGTAGCAGCTATAAGCTTGTGTAAGGTTTGGGCGTGTCCCAGTTTTCTTATTTGTATTGCATGCATTACTAGGGTGGGCTTCTCTTTATCTCGGGGCCGGGCGGCAAAGTGTCCCGGGACAGTGGGGTAACACCTCCACCAAGGGTTGAGCTTTTTCAGAAGGGGGCTTTTTTCGTATTCACGACTCTCTGGAAGTTTGTCCAGGGCGTGTGGAATACCACAGGAGTGGGTGGCTTATTTTATAAGGAGGTGGGTTTTCTCCATGGAGCAAGGAATTGTTTGACTTTTGAGAGGATGTAATAACTTAATTATAATTTAAATTTAAGAAAGCGCCCAATCCATTAACTGCTTCCAGGCGCTGCACATACACATGTATGTACTTCATATCGTAAACATTATACATTCACAAAATTACTAATTAAAACAATTAAAAGTCTAAGGGACTAAAAATGCCCGCTTAAAGCGATATCCTTACCTGATCCATACACAAAGGCTACATGCAGTGTAAGGATAAGGGTGGTCTGGGTTCTTGTGTTTTCACCTTTAACTCCCCTTCCGCATTCTTGCTGGGAGCCTTCCCCAGTCTCTTAAATCCTCCACTCATGCACCAACTACACGTTGACAATCTACTCTTTGTTCCCTATGTGTGTGCCCATTAAAAGGAAAATACAACCAAACTCTACATGTAGGTCATATATTTTTTCCAATCAAAAAGTGTGGACAGAGTAAATAACCACCAGTAATGTCTT